GCCTTGGTATTCTTAGTATTTTCTGAGAGAAAAAAAAAACAGCTCAGTTATTCTAAAATGAAACAAATGCATCGCTTTGTCACACAGTACAGCCTAGTTAATCCTATGGCGTTTGGGTAGCGTTTTGGTCGACAAATGCTTCACTTTTATATTTGTGCGGCACTTAAAGTAAGAAGGAAAATTGAAAAAAGAAATTTGAGCTTACTTCAACTAATATGTGCAAAATTTAGATGAAATGTTTGCTAGCAGGAGATTGCTGACATAGTGCTAATATTGACTGAGAAATACTGAAATGCATTTGAGACACAAAATCAGATTCAAATTCAAGCACTGAATTAGTGAGAAACAAATAAGGGCAAAAACAGAACGACAGCACAGTGCTTATCAAGACCAAATCCGCCCCTCACACTGGCCTTTCATTCTGTCGCCGATGGATCTCTTGCTCACAGTACGAATGATGAATGTTTTTAATACCTAAGGTATAAAATAATGGTTTTAGGGATGATACCTCATCAACAATGAAAACAACACCATGCTTGCTTGTTATGTCGCGAATTCCTTGAAAGAACGCCGGCGAGCCGTGATTATCACCGCCTTCTCCTTGGATCGGCTCAACAATCAACGCTGCTACATCCTGATTTGCCTTCTTCCTTTCTTTTATTAATTCCTCCACCTTGAAAATTTCAAAACATCCTGGGCAAATTTTTTTAATTTAGATATTTTATATGTATTATTTTTCCCACACACTATCCAAAGTAACTTCCCGTTTTTCTAGCGCAGATCATCTGCGATGATACGTTACTACATAGCGGTGTGCTTTCCGAACGTACCTGCTTGTCGGCAAAGCCGAGGAATTTGTACTACGAAAATCATGGACAGTGATAACGAAATATTCATGATGTTTCCGACGGCGGTTATCGCCGCCGTCATCTTGAAAGCTTCTTGTTTTTTATATTTGAAAATATATTGCGGTTCATGTTTAAAGTCGGATACTCACTGAGACTGTAAGGGCGATAGGGCCGATCCAACCCCCTATTGCCCGCTTTTTTACGAAATCGAAGGAGGAAGCCGGCCGTCCATTCATCACGCTCAGTCGGTTCTTCACCGCGAGGATAGCCGTTCGTCACGGCAGAGTTTATTCCCAAAACGTGTCCTACTGGTAGCTGGTATTGCTCGACTGGTAGTAGGTCCTACTAAAACGGCGATGAATTAATTTGTATTACGAGAATAGCGGTAGTCCGGCTTGTACTCCGGACAGATCCAGCGCAACTCTGTCAGTCTGAACCATCCAGAGAAGAGAGTCGTCCCGAACCGCTGTTGACTGCGGGGACTTTAAGATAAACTTTGTTTTAAAAATAAAATAGAAGCCGGGACACGAATGACCACGACGTAACAGTCAGCTGGCAGCGGCGCATCGCTGCCGCTACCATTTAACACCAAAATAATGAT